ATATTTCTTCTGGACACTTTTGTGGTGCTGACATTCGATATCCTGGTAAAGGGAAAAATTTTTAGTGTTGAAAAATTATACATATTAACAAATCTAAAAAGAAATTGGGAAAGTTCAAGATCACTGCATAAAAAAGAAACTTGAGTGTAAATTCTCCATGCCTCTAATAGGAACAACGTCTTCAATTTGAGCTGACTAATCTAAGCTCAGCTACCAACAACATTTAAGTTAGCTATGGTAAATTCCCGATATACTTGTCTCATCTCTAAGGGCAGCATCATGCTTAGATTTATTTTCTGAGTATGAGAATGTAACTACCCATGAAAGTTTTGTTTCTGTCCCCTTCTTTTTGTGTACTCGGAAAACCAGTAATGAACAAACCACATTACTCCTTCCAGAAAGCAAGACCTAGTAATAGTCTAACATTTTTGCTGAAGCTGCTAGATAAACTTTATATTATTACTTTGTTATTTTTATACTGTATGTAGTAACATACATTCCTATGGATCTGTACAGCATCTGTTTTGCTTCCTGCAAATAGGTACCTTTTTCCACTTGTTCTCGTGCTTGTTGGTTGGTCATTCCAGGGTACGGGCACACTCCTAGACTGAAGGTCTCCCACAAAAGGATGCCAAAGCTCCACACATCACTCTCAGATGTGTATCTCCCTAAGGAAAAGACAGAGAAACAAAGATTTGACTTAAAGATCTTTTTCTTAGAGTAATTCATGTTTTAGATAATTATGGACACAATTTTTTTGAAGAGGTATTATTTTGTCAGGCTTCAAAGAAAAGAAAGCTGTAGCTCCTAATGAACGTTCTTTGGATATTAGAGTCTCCTATATTTCAAATGACAAACCTAGATTAACTTAATATTTTGGAATAAAATAAGGTTACACAGTTCTGCAATTTGCACACAGACTTGTTACGAAAAGTGGTACATGGCTTAGTATCTCACCAAGTTGGTTATTTTCCATGCAAGACAAGAATTTCTTTGACAGTGATGTTCAAAAATATTTTTGTTCTAATATAAAACGACAAAAAAGTCAACTTTTTTTTTTGCTTTCTAGTTTACAGTTGCTACTGCAATTTCAAAGACCCTTTTTTTTTTAAAAAAAACACCTTTTCCAGTTACTCAATATAGCTGGGCAATTAGTGTTCTCAGAGCAGCCAAAAGCAATGGAGTTAATTTCAAAGACAGCATCTTATCCTGAGAAGCTACACTCTGAAAATAAAATGGTAGTTTTATAGCTGCTTCAACTGCTGTTTAACTTGTACCTTGAAGTGACAGGACCAATCAGTTTAAACAAAAACCTGGTCTAATGGTTCTGTTATCCAGATATGTTTCAGGTTGATGGCAGAATGAAGATAACTGATTTCCAAAACTCATTGCAGAACGAAAGTCTCTTACTAGGATGAAAGGACAGCTCTTGGCAGGACATACTCCTATTATCTCCGACTGGATTCACATTAAGCACACTGTATCTGGAAGTGACAGCTTGTTGTCTTTTGCAGCAGAGGCTGTGAAAATATTACCTTAAAAATCCATTTTCTACATTTCTTTTAGCATTTTTCACAGTTGTATTTCTTGTTACATTCTGTTATATTCTTTAAGTGTTTGTACATGTTCTTTCAATAAACATATGTTCTTTCACATGTGTTGTTTGTTCAACACAGAGCATTAAACAAACCAACTGGCCAGCTTCTGTTACTTGCCCCTCCTTCTCCTGCATTTCCAGAATGGCCCTATAATCCTCTTGCTTGTGACAGATTCTCAGCTAACGACTGAAAGACCAGTATTCTTCGCTTAGGATAGAGAAAAGAAAATACATGTAGGTTTGTGACATTTGCTACTATGACAACTGTTCTGACGTCAGAAAGTTCAGTTTGCTCTTAAACTAAATACAATTTCCAGCTGTGCTGCATTAACTTTCATGCCTAGCAGACAGTAATTACTGACATTCACTATGCCGTGTGCAGTAAGATTAGTTTTCTTGTCTATACATCAATTCTTCAGAATTTAGTATCCAGTAAATTAACATTTTTCATTAAAGTTATTCAGTAGATACAAGATGAAGTGATTAGTTTTGTTTAAAAGAAAGAACAAGTTCTGCTCAGTCAATTAAATTTCCCAGGATGATAATATCTAGGCAAAAAAGGGCACGGTCTTTCATAAATAAATACAATAATTTACTAATGCTACAAAGAATTGAAAAAAAAGTACCAGAAAAACATATGCATTGAAAAATGTGTATTTTAGTATAAAGAGAAGAGGAAACAAAACTACCCCATACCTTAGCATAAGTATGCAATTTAAGGAGGTGCTTTTAAAATAGTTTCTTCATTTGCTGGGAGTGATTGGAATCACTTCCAAAGCTCCAAATATAGCTCCAAAGAAAAATACTGCGATGAAGTGGCATTGAACACTATGAATTGAACTACAGTGTAAGTTTTCCATAAACTCAGATAGCATCAGGGTTTTATTCATGACTTCATACACAGCTCCATAACCATTTGTTTTAATCTGTTTCCTGTAATTCTCAACCTATATTTTGTCTTTTTTTTTTTGTGAATACTACTATTAATTTGTTATACGAAGTAAATCCAAAAGTGATTTAATAAGGAACCTTGACTTTACAGACTGTATCATTCATGTAATAGCCAAATGACTCCATCACTAACTTTCCCATAACACTTAAATTTTGCTATTAAGAACTGATATATACAGTGGTTGTCATCTGATTTTAAAATGCTGCAATTTAAATCTGTCTCATTCTAGTATCCTTAACTACTTTGAACCTTACCCACACAAATTACCATAATACTTATGACTGTATAATTACAATGGTAAAATGCAAACCAGTTATTTTTACTTGTTCTTTTCAAGGGAGTGAAAACAGAATACTCCATCAAAAATAACCAGGAAACCTTGCAAAACATAGTTAAAGCTTAATATTAAACTGCTAAACACATTAACAAATATTTCAGGTTATTTTCTAAACACTGCAAAAGGTCACTTAAAAGCTGGCTGAGTATGGATGCATCTTAGGAAACACCGAATAAAATGTTCCCTCTCCTGTAAAGACATTCAAAAAAGCTAAAGTCAAAATAAATTAAAAAAATGGTGTCACAAAAGCCAGTTTCCATTGGGCTTCATATGGTGTTGAAAAGTGGATTATATATCATTATATATCAAATATATATATATATATAAAAATAACACATACAAAATATATGAATGTGAATATTATCAACATTAGTAGCTCTTAGAGTAATATCAGGTCAGTCACTCAAGCTGCATTTATTACTAGCTTTCCAAAGGAAGGGTTTGCATTATTGCATTATGGCATTAACTGCTGCAGAAGTGCTAATGAACATAAGCATTTTTTTCTACTAAACATAAGTCAAATGCTATGATTTTCATATGGCTCTAAATAAAAGCATTTAAGGTTGGGAGGAATATTTAAAGAAAATTAAAACAAAGATGTAAACACTTTTTTAAGAAATGAAGAGTTGCTTGAGATAACTGTATTCAATACATGACATTCATGCTCCTTCTATGTTCCTTCTTCACACCTTACTTTACTGTATTTCTTAGGTTTCACCTACCAACTAAAAAGCAAAATCTGGAAGCTTCTATTTTTGTTCGGAAGCCACTACTCACATTGTGCGGACCAATTCCTTAAATCTAAAATAACAGAACTTTCCCCTCACACCTCCAGGACAATAGAAGAGCAATATAGAAAAACGCAAGTTAAGAACAGCTGCTGTTTAAAAAAAATCAGTGACCTTATTTTTCTGTCATGCCATGGTTTCTCTAATTGAATGTTCTAGAATATTTTTTTTTACCCTTTAAAAAAAAATACTAGATTACTGCCACAAGTATGCAGAACTTGCTATTCATCTTGCTAATGATTATGATTTTGGTGACTGACTAGGTAGTCAACTACAGTGGGTCAGCAGCCTAACTAAAGCATTATTTTATTGTTAAATCAGTAACAGGTTTGATGTTGCTGCTTTGTTCTGTTTGAAGAGAAAATAGTACTTTATACAGTTTAGTATTTCAGCCTTATTCAAGTTTTTTTAAACATTTGTTGTTCTGAGAAGGACACAAAAAAGAATATATGCTCCAGTACTGTTCCCGGTGTAATTCCCTGCATCTTACATTGTATAGTTTTTTGACAAGAAGATAAAGGACTATTCTTACCATAGTTGAGAGCTTCTGGAGCAGTCCATTTGATAGGAATCTGCTTTAAGCCTGAAGATGAATATACTCCATCATCTTCCTGACGAGACATCCCAAAATCACTTATTTTCAAAATGTTGCTTTCACCGACCAAACAGTTTCTTGCAGCCAGGTCTCTAAGTAAAAACAAGAAATAAGCACCCATATTTTTATAGATTCAAAATTACTAAAAGCCATTTAAAATGTGAAGGCAAGTCTGAAGCAGCTTCCTAAATTTTTTCTATCATAGCTGAATTTACCATTAAAAGCAACTATGTGAAAATGTAGGAAATGTTTGTACATACTAAATACATAAAATAAGCATCTACTGAAATAAGCAGATGCAAGGCAACAATTTGCTCTGGCTTTATTGCCCATTGAGGTCACAGAAGTAAATTTACAGATTAAAATATTGGATTTAATGCATATCGAAGAAGTATGTTCCTCTAACTGTGAAAGAGGCTGAGAAAAACAAGTCTGAAATCAGAGTTTCCAGCTGAAAAAATATGCAAATATTTAAAATAGTACATTAAAGTACGTAGTTTTACATTAACTTGTTGTATTGTCCAGCAAAAGCAAAATGTCATCACTTATACCCACGTTTGTAAAATGTGTTACCAAGGAGTTTTCTGGAATTCAACCCTGAAGTTTCAACCATATTAAATTAGTAACATTTTAAACATTTTCAACTGCTCAGTGCAGTCTGGATGTTATGCCAGGTGCACACAGGGAATTGAAAAAGTCATAAGAGGTAGATTGTGAAAGAAAATTTATAGAGCCAATTAAAATCATGGACCTCAGCCTATCTAGTATTAAAAAATGTTCTAATTAAGAAGGAAATACATACTGAGCTGTCACAGATTTATTCCTCAAATCTAGTCAATTTGATAAAGGAAAATATGCTAGAAAGTATGTAGCATGACCCTTATATGTAATGATTATGCACAGTTCATCTAACATTTGCGCTAGTTCTCTATTTCTTTCAGAGTAATCTAAATGAGGCAGGTTTTATCATTACCAGAAATTCTTCAAATGTATTCCATGGAAATAAAACCAGTATTTGAGAAAGTTGATTAACATTATCACACTATTTTCTGGGCGCACATGAATTAGCACAAAGTCCTTTGGAAGACCAAAGGCACACAATATTTCTGCTCCAGGAAACTGTGTTTTACAGCTACTCTACGAGCTGGCAGCAGGTCACTGAGCTGTGCTTTTCCAGCTGCCACCCTCCACGCAAGCACCAGGAGTGCCAGGGACCAGGTAACAACCTGCCTCTCCTGCAGGTAGACACAACAGTCAGGTCCACCATCCACCATCCATATTTATGGGCAAGTTGTTTCCTCTTTCTTTTTGTCTCAGTTACCTGTCTAGCAGACACATGAGAAGTTTTATCACCATCTTTCATCACAGAGTATCAATACAGATTTAAGAAATAGTGAGTGCACAGCTGTTAACACTGAGATAGAAGAGGACGCATCGCAAGACAAGAGACAACACAATTTACTAATAAAGATACAATTAGTATATCAAATATAGTAGTCCAGGTCATTAATCTTAAGTATTGTTTTTGCTTTCAGGTAAAGCATCCACCCTTCTAAATATATAATAATACAGATTATTTTTAATTTGTCATTTCTGTTAATAAAGTCTCTTGAGGACTTGCTATGTTCACTTCTGATTTGAACAGATTTACTCTTCTTTTCTCATGCATCAAGTTTACTTTTTCTCCTGCTTATTTGGAAAACATTTTACGTCCGAACATTTCTTTCTCTTTTCCGTTAATTTTAGTCATAGAGTTTTTAATTGGCTTTTGAATTTTCCCTTAGTGCACTTAGTTTTCTGCTTCAGGATTTTGAACCAGGAACACTGAACAAATCCAGTGCCCTTTAAAATCATGCCAAAACTCAACCTAAAATTTTGTTACTGTGTAAATTTAATAGCCCACTGCTATTGAGGGTGAAGTGGTTTTCCAGCATCAACCAATTCACATGTTGTAACTACATCTTGTGGTAAGTGAATTTTCCAGGTTTTTCTTTTCTCCCTATTTTCTTACTTGGAATTTCTCCAGATTGTCTGTTCTTTTAACATTTATTATGTTAATTGCTCAAGCTGCTTACAGATGCTGTGCAGGTCAGGTTTCTTGTTAGTAATTCCCCTGTGATTTTAACTCTGTATCGTATTCTCAGCATTTCCTGTTGAATTGTCCAGATTTTTCCCTACTTATATGTTAACAAACTAAAAAAAGACATTACACTGACATTATATCTTTCTCATGATTTTCTTTTTTACTTTGAGCATGTTACTTGATTTTTCAGTGTTTTCCAAACAGTTCATTTACTGCTTCTTCTCATCTCTGTCTTCTGATCTAGCAATACACTGATGCTATTGATATATTTTCTTATAGAGGATCTTGGTACTTTTAAGTTTCGATACAAGAAAACTGGCCAAAAGTACATTTTGGCCACTGTGATTCATTAGAGAACTGGTAGCTAGCATTTGATAAAAGGGTTTCAAAAACACCACCTCCTTTGCTTTAAACAAATAACAGCTTTAATTTTATCCCAGTTGGCAGGATTCTAATATCATTTTGAAAACATCCTTATATATCAATATAAAGTTCTACTGGCTACTGATAAAAAGAATCTGTCAGTATTTCACAGCAGAATATCCCTGTATACTCCCTAAAATCTGCATACTATCTCATTCCCTCTCCCATCCCTTTGGTATGGACTAGCCTATCCCTCAAGATTTAGTTGCTGTCTCCTGCATACCTCTCCTGTCAGCTCCGTTTGGTCTGGAGGATGTTCTGCTGTATGGACTAAGAAACAAAAACATTCCTCCCTTCTTCACATAAGGAAGAATGTGAAATTTCTTGCTCTCTTCTCCTCTCTCATAGAGCTTCAGGCAGAAGCATATTTTATTACATGTGGCATGACCAAGAAGCAGAAAGCCTAAAAGTAATATTGGTTTAACTGTCACAGGGCTTATGGGAAGACCCTTGCAACTTATCCTTCTGTGTGAAACACAATGGGGTTCAAGAGAAAACTGGCACGACATCACTGAGTAAAATCAAAAGGAACTTCCAAATATATATAGCTGATGAATAGAACAAACCGTGTGAAGAGTCAATATTACAGACAACTATCCTAGTTATACAAATATTTGTAATAACTCGTCACACATAGTTTGCTTTCTCTGCCTTCTCCTTAACTTTCCCTAAAGTAAACATCCTAAAGAAGCAAAGATACAACTGCATGGAACTAGCTGCCTATCTCTGTATGGGGCATTGCCCTTCTTTTCATATAGCATTTACTATTTGCTGCAGTAATTCCATAAAATCAATATTATCACTAACACACAAAAGCAGCAAATACTCATTATACAAGTATTTGTACTTGTATAAGTTATTATACAGTACAAATTATACTAAGCAGTTTACAGATCAAGTTCATTAGTAAAAGAAAAGCTTTGATTTTCACTTTTAGATGCCGTGCTTATAGATGCTCATAAGTACATTAAAAACAAAAGGAAAAGCCCCTTAGCCCAATTACTAAAGAGGTAAAACTAAAATGTAAAACAGAAATCTCATTTTTATGCACCATTCTAAAGCTTCTATCAAACACAAAGAGTTGCATATTGTTAATATAGATTGGACTGCTGACACTACAGCAGACGGCTCTAATGACTTCTGCTAAAAATCCAACAGCAAATTGAAGAGGTAGTGGAGACTATTTCTTTGTGCTGGAGCTGCTACTGTCCAGTCTAAGGTATGTCAGTGAGGAGTTAAACCTCAAATTTTTATTTGAGAATGCCCTGGAAAGAACTGCATAGCAAATAACAACCAGTATTTGAATGAGATTCCATTTATTTAAAAAAAGAGACAACCTCACGTTACAAAATCCCCAGGACAGACTGTCTCACTGAAGAAGCATACTCAGCTGAAAAACACAAGTAATCTGAACAAGATCAGAACACTTTATTTGCACATTTAATTCAAAATACTGCATTAATCAATCACAGAAAGGGTGGCAAGTCTACAAATGAAAATTGTTGGGTTTTTTTGTGGTCTACAAATATATCAACTCTTTCAGCCACTTTAGATAAATTCCAATGCTGGTTGTCTAATAAAATAAAAATACATTTATTTCAAAAGCTTCGTGTTAAGCGTATGCTGCCTTTTTTTTTTTCCTGAGTGAAGAACATATAAAATAGTGTCTAATAACAGATTACTAAATACTAACTAAATTCTAGTAGATAGATTCCTAACTACTAAATAGTAATAGATAACTGGACACTAGATAACTAAATACTAGAGAATCAAAAGCAGGTAATTTTAATGATCTATGCTGGCCTCATAGTTTATACTTCTTGCTTCTTATTATTCTAGTTATGACATAATGAATAATAATGGAAAAATATTAACTGTAATGCTAATCATTTGTCTCAGTTCCTCACGTAATTCATATCCATCCTCATTTTCACAGATGACACTAGAGCCAAACCAAGCTAGATGCAGCAGCGATTTTTGAACGGTCTAAGTTCTTCTGCTTATTGTCCATATTGTTGAACACTGTTTTGTTTTCCACCTATAAAGTAAGTAATTTCCTCACCTCAGATCCCTGTTATCCTTGTAAAGGATCAGCTTACAGGGATCAGTTACTCCTGTAAAGTATTTTGATATTTTCAGATGAAAGACTTGAAGATTTTCTTTTCCCCAAAACAACCAAAAAAGTGTTCAAAACAAACAAAAATATTCAGAATGACTGTCTTCAGTAACTGAACACAACCATGAAAACTAGGCTTATATCTAAAAGGCTATATCTAAAGTTTTTCAACAGTTAAAATTTCTGTGAATGAACAAGTTAAATCACACTTCCACACAGAACCTCTATTTTCTCCACCTGTAAGACTAAAACATTGTCCTGTACTCCAATAAAGGTCCACATTGCACTGTTCACTCTCACTTTCATGATAGTGAGATTGCCATCACACGAAATGAAACATTGCACCTTCGTGAACTATCCTTGTGAACTAGGGTTACTAAGACAATATTAACCAAAAGATTTAATTTGCATGCAATACAGGTCAAAGAAAGCAGAAGAAAATTAAAACTATCAACAGGCTTAGACATTTT